ACAATAATTAATGAACTATTTAAATTTTCAAATCCGAATTTCTTTTTTTCATGCAAAATTTTGGATTCTTATTTATATGCCAAAAATATTTTCATTTTGGAGGGTACTATAATGAAAGAGTCATTGACACTTGCACTCTTGTACATGACAGGCAACTCTATGTATTATAGTGACCAAAATTTTAAAGATTGACACTGGAACGAAATAGTTGCATAGTTAATTTATACACGATTATTTCCTATATCGTACTTTTATTATTTCATTATTTTATATTAGAAGAACTTCGAATTGTTAATTAATTTTGTTATATTATATACTGAATATTATATATTATATACTTAATTAATACACAATTGCATTATATTATACATTATTATATACAGTAATGTACAATTATATGAAAATATTTATTAGTTCTATCGTATCAATTAGACGTGATACATGATTTATCGTAATGTATAATTTACCATTTCTTTATTCAATATTTTGGTATTTACATAATTCTCATGACAAAAATTAACAAAAGATTTACTGAGCTATACTGTATACTTTAAACGTAGTATACTTTGCTAATAGTAATAACGAAGATCGCGTGATGAAATAAATAGCTACGTATAATTGCATACTTATTTCAATAATGGGCAATATTAATTTCACTAAAAATAATTCCATGTGAAATTTAATCTAGTGCTAATAAATCCAGGTAACGAATGTCTTTCAGTTTCAATGATGCAATAACGAAAGCTGAATATTATCAATTTCATAATAGAGTCGAGCCTCTTATAACGCAATTAATTCGTATCGCGATACATGGAAACTGTGTTATAAGAAAATCAGAATTAATTGAAATCAAGAAATGCGTTCTATGGAAACCGCGTTATCAGAAATGTAGTAATAGAACAAATCAGATTAATTTATATCGCGTTATATAGGAACCACGCTATAAGAAACTCAGAAATAATACAAATTGAACGAATTCGTACCACGTTATATGAAATCTCAGAAATAAATAAATTGTACATAAATCAGACTTATATAAAAGCTGCGTTTTCAAAGTATCAAGTTGCGATTGATACGGTTAATAAATAAATTTTTCTAATAAAAATGGCAATGAATATGTAAATTTTTACATATTTAAATTTATTTTTATCGAATATAATACATAGTTCGTGTAATAAAATTATAAACTGAAAACATTGTTTCCAAGAAGAAAACATAATTTGATACATATTAATACTAGAACTACCGATCTTTAATGAGTACCTAACTATAACGTGCACAAATTATAGTAATTTCAGAGATACGATGAATATGAGTGAATATATTGTAAGATGGCGAATACTGGTCTTGAGACACCGAAAATTATCGAAAGAACAAGAACGCGATAACACAAACTCAAAACTCGTAAACTGATTTAACTTAGGAAAAGAACACCAAGAAAACGAAAACACGCAAAGATGCACTCTTTTAAAACTCTCTTTTCAACACCAAGCGACTCACGCTTGTGCTGGTCACAACCGATTTCTAAGGACTCTGTTTTGGTTGTCAAGGACCACGCTTTTATGCTTTCCTTAACCTACGCTTCACCTCCACGTAGAGGAGTCGTGCAACTTAATTTTGTTATATAGAATAACTTTTCAATTTGCTTCTAGAAGATATCGATCGGTTTACAATTTGTTTTTGTTGGCAATAGCCGATTCGCGATTTCTTTTGGTATTCTACAATATTGATTGCAGTACTTTCTTAACACGAGTTGATACCAATTTTATTCTTAAAGCAGGTGTATGTGTTCGGTGATTGCGAAAAGGAAAATTCTGGGACCAGTCATTTTGACAAGGTTGGTAGTTCTAGTGTTAATGAAGAATCCTAATTTAAAATAGGATTCTAACGTGTTAAAATTAAACGGTTTATTACTTTGTTTTATATAATTATTTTTTCAGCACCTATCAAAGCCCTTATTAAAATCTTTTCTATCGTAAGTTCTCTTATGCATCAATGTTATTCCATATTTCTTCTTAATTGTATTTATTTCTGAAACAAATATTTTATTCTCAAATACTTTTATGAAACCGTTTCAGTCTGATCGGAATTCAAACATTCCTATCACGTGGTTCATACATCGAAGATACCGCAATTAGATTGTTTTATTATTCATCATCACTGCGAAATATTTGCAGTTTAACCCCTTTTTACTAATTGCTCGAAAATCGTCTTCATTTTGCAAATTTTCTTCCTGGCTGTCAAATGTAGTTTTATTTTATAGTTCTCCCAAAACCTCTTTATATGGAGTCAAGAAATTTTGAAATTTTCTTTTGAATTTTGCACTGCTCATCGTTGAAGGATCATTTTGAGTTAAGTCACGTTCTAATCCTTTAGTCAAATTTAGCCCTGTTTTTACATCGTAACTGAAGTTTGAAACGAATTCGTTGTCCTCGTTTTCTTCCACAAATGCACTTGAGGTAGGCTCTATTAGTCGTGGCTATTATAATGAAATATATCTAATTCGGTTTATACTTTCTCACGATACTCGTACACGCGTTCACTCGCAATCAATTCTGCATTGTAACTGACCTATCCAACTATTTTCTTATTTGTTCGTATGTACTCTCTCATGTGTGCATCACATAAATGTATACATTCTATATCACACTTCATTCATTACACGCATACTCGATCCACTCATTCTTCCTTACCCACATCATTTATTTCACATTAATATATATATATATGAGTCGTTCACTGCACAAATCGATTAACTCCACTTTTTGAAAAATCTTAAATTTAAGTGTCGAAGCACTTGGTATAGTCGTAACTTTTTATATTTATAATAACTTTCCCTGATAATTAAGATTAACACCGTTAAACGACAAAAATTTTTTGGTCACTGAATAATAAATAATTTATTTCAGAACTCACTTTGATTAACTCCGTACTCTAATGTAAATCGTTGCAATAATGCAACTCAAATGCACTAGCAAGCCACGAATGATAACGGTGAATTTTTTAGTGCCGTCTTATCAGAATTTAAGTAAAATTTAGTAAAATTTAAATTTATTACTTTTTTCACTCGCCAGATCGATTAACTCTTCCAGTAACGTAAAAATGGTAACATTACTAACGATTACCTTTTGGCTACTTTTTCTTATAAATTTTATATACCGTTGGATGAAAGTTGCATTTGTATTTATGCATTCTACAATATTTATTTCGATTTAAATTATAACGGGAATTTTAAAAAACAATATACATTATTTCATTGCATTTCTCTACTTTTTGTTTTATGGAGTTAATCAATTTGTGCAATGAACGGTTCATATGTACAGTTATTAACAGTAAATTATTAATCGAATAATAAAGATTAGATGAATAAAAGAATCGTAGAGAAATAAAATTGTTTCGTGTGAAAAATGTCTAGTACGAGTAGCTACGTCGGTGGAAATATTGTAGGTTATAAAAATGGCGTTGTGTAAAGTTCTGATTACGCAGAAACGAAAAATAGAATTACGTTCCAATAAAGAGTTGTTAGGAAAAACAATTGATCTATTTATTTAAGAAAAGATATTTATTTATTTATTTTAGGTATGCGCACGCATCAAAATATATATCAGAAAATGAATATTTAATAAAATTAAAAAGTGCAAATAAAATTAACAATTCATATATTTACATATGCTATATGTTATGTGAGAACTGAATACAACATTATTAATTTACTACTCTTTTTATATTTATTTATTTTATTTTATACTATTTTTGGGTAGAAATATTTTTGATAAATTTTATCCTATGTAATCCTAATTACAAATAATATTTTTATAGTTTTTTAGAGCGAACATACAATTTATCTGCAAAATTGAATGCAAAGGAATAAATGATACTTTCAAGCTATCAAATAATAATTGAAGATTTATGTTATTTTTCTAATCGTGGACTCTGTGTACACGTGATTAATAAAGGTAAATTATCCAATTTATCCAATTTTCCATAGAATTGGAAAGTATCCAATTTTCCATGGAATTGGAAAGTTTCAATTTTCTTGGGAACCTCAATATTTTTCAAGGTGGAACTTTGGTGGCGGTAACCTTATGGTTTGGGCTGCCAAACATCACACATCATTTATTCTACATCAATATATATATCAAAAATCTATGTCAAGCATTACCACAGACTCATCAATTAATTTTACCAATTTCTCCTCATTTAAACTCTCTTTCCGAAGTAGTTCTATATCTTCATGGTTTATATCTGAAAATCCTTCACTGTTCAAAGTACAATGTTTACTATTTCTGTAAATGGAGCTGAAATATCATTTCTCTTTTGATCCATTTGACTTGCTGGAATGTTCTTGTGCGAAAAACATAAGGAGACCGCGTTATAGGACAGCTGTCGCCATTTTTGCTGAGTATTATATAAAAATCGCGTTATAAAAACACCGGCTTATAGGAGACTCGACTGTATTATATTTCCATGGAACAAATTATACACGATACAAAGCCTATTATAATAACATAACCTTACAATTTTCTTATTCTACGAAACGTCTTCGGGTTTATTCCTCGCGATCGAAATTAAGTCAAAGATTGAAGAATCGAATAAAGACAGATAAAATCAAAGGTTAAAGAGCATTAGGGTGTAAACGATTAAAAAACCCCGAAAATGTCGGAGAACTTGATGGAATATAGGTCAGAATAGAATATTTGATGGTTTTCCTGGAAGACGATAAAACGAGGAAAGCATAAGTAAATAGCCCTGTAAGAATGAACTGGGTCGATCGATCGATCGATCAATTAGGAAATATTCTCGATGAAATAATTGTGTGCTCGTTGCTGATAAATCATTCGCTCGAACACGATGTTATCTCGTCTTATCTGAGCGAATAAGTGGCTGTGTAACAATAATAGCTCGTACCTCCTTCGGTCTACGATTACGAGTCCACGAGTTTCGTGAAGCGTTGTCATTCGCGATGCTACTGCGCAATCGTGGCTGCTGATAAGGGGAAATAAGATTTACCAGCTTCGAAGGTTCAATGTGAACTCAATCAACATTACGCTGGTATCGTGGAAAGTCTTTTGCGCGATCTCTACGTCGTTACCCTTGAGTTGGAGTACTAGACGAGGGAGTAGAGGGAGAGTGAGAGAGAGAAAGAGGAAGAGAGAAAGAGTGGGGATACCGGAAGTGATCGCTGGATGCCGCAGATCCGGGACCGGCCAGGATAACTAGACGGCGTGGAAGGATTTCCCGTGGGAACGAATGATAAACTGAAAGCGAAGAAAAGATTCCGTGATTAAGGATTCTCCGCAGAGATGGCCACCGTGTTAGCTACGTTCTCCGTCCTTAAGGACCATGTGAAGTTAAAGGTCTCGCAGGACGCCGTTGCCATTGACAATATGGGTAATGAGAATAATGACACGTGAAAGATACGTACTTAGGTTAGGTTAGGAGGAAAAGGAAGAAAATTTATTTCAGTGATTATTCGTTGTAAACGAATATTTTTGGTGCTGTTGTTTGTTATTGTGTAATTGTATAATTATTATTATTATTGTTGTTGTTATTATTAGCGGAGAAGAAACATGAAGGAAATTTGTTTTAGTGTTTGTTGGTTGTAAATTATTACTTTTGATGCCGATGTTTGCTATTATATTGCTGTTGTTGCATTGTTTGATTATTAGATTATTAAATAACATCTATTGTTATTATTATTATTATTAGCGTAGGAAAAAGCGGAGAAAGTTTATTTTAGTATTTATTAATTGCAAGCGATTGCTATCGGTGTCGATATTTGCTATTATATTGTTGTTGTTGCTTTGTTTGGTTATTAGGTTATTAAATAACATCTATTGTTGTTATTATTATTATTATTATTATTATTATTATTATTATTATTATTATTATAGGTTATTAGATTATTAAATAACATCTACTGTTATTATTATTATTCTTGTTATTAGTATAGGAAAAAAGTGGAGAAAGTTTATTTTAGTATTTATTAATTGCAAGTGATTATTATTAATGTCGATGTTTGCTATTATATTGTTGTTGTTGCTTTGTTTGATTATTAGATTATTAAATAAGGCTTGTTATTCTTCTTCTTCTTCTTCTTCTTCTTATTATTATTATTATTATTATTATTATGAGCGAGAAGGAAAATGGAGAAAGTTTATTTTGGTATTCATTAATTGCAAGCATTTTTGGCATTGTTGTTCGTTATTGTATTGTCGTTGTTGCTTTATTTGATTACTAAGTTATTATATAACGTTTGTTATTATTATTTTATTATTTTATCAATACTAGTTTTATTAAGATTAATGTTCTTATTTTATTGTTATTATAGTTACTGTAATTGTTGCGAATAGTGTATTATTATTTTATTTGGTTATTAATATTCAGGTTATTATCCAATTGTTATTTGAATAACAATTTTAGTAATATTTAACATCGTCATTATTTGTCTATTTAATTTTTATCAGTTTATTAATTTGATTTAATTTTCACTTATTCTTTCAATTTATTTGTATTATTATTGTCATATCGGTATTATTGTTTCATTTTATTCAAACTATACGTATCTTCCACTCTGGTTTCCTTTTTCATTAATTAGTTTGAAGTAATTATTTTAAATTGAATGCAATTAGCTTTAAGCTACGTCTGAGTACTATTTCATTATGATCCTCGGTATTTCTTTATTTAGTTATTATATCAATAACAATTTCATTAATATTTAACATCACCGTCAGTTAATTTATTCATTTGATTTATTAGTTCATTGATATTATTATTTCCTTTTATTCAATTTCTGTGAATCTTTCCTTTTGCCTTTTTTCAATTAATTTTTGGACACGAATAACTTTCAAATCACATTGGGTACTACTTGTTAATCGTTTCGTTAAATTTATTAATTAATTCATATTATTAGTATTTCATTCAACATGTGTGAACTTTCAATTTTTGTATTATTTTCAATCATTCATTCCTGATATGTAATATAATATTTTACAGGAATATTATTTCGAATATTATTAGATTAAAAGCTACATTTGAGAACAATTTATCATTTAATTCAATAACATTATTATTTCGTTTAATTCCTTTTATATAAACAATTTTCTTAATATTTAACATAATTTGTCACTGTTAATTGCTTCATTCAATTAATTAATGTTGTTATTTAATTTATTTCAATTTATGATTCCTCCTTTATTTTCTTTACGATTAATCGTTTTCAATTAATCATTGTTTGTCATTAGTTTTCAAGCTACACTACAGAGTCACGTTTCTGATACTCTTGATGTCCACGTTGCTGGTGACAGCTAGGCAATTTATCGGAGAACATATCAGGTACATTTATGAGTATTCTTAACACTATATCATTGGGTTTTCTACTGTTACAATATTATTAGAAACGCACGAAACCTTATTAACTGACTTATTACTGCTGCAATACTTGCTTCTTATTTCATAGTAGTCGCAATGAGTGATCAACTATGGTTATCTTTCATTTGTATTTGACGTCTGTGTTATCAAATAGAACTCTCGGACTTTTAAAACTGGGAATCGAGGAATTTCTTTTGTCCTCTATCTAATTGTAGGAAAGTCTCAATAATCCTCGATTCGAAAATAACGATAAATTATTATATATTATATGTTATCAATAGAAATTACTTTTTATTATATATTCCAAAATTAAGGGTACCAACACAGTTTTAAATAGAAGTAAAAGATTCACGCTAAAATATATTATACATAACGTTTGATTGATTATTGAAAAATAATAGACTTAATTTTAATTTCGATGCTGTTTTCTTTAAGTATGTCTCACTGAAAAAATGTGTTTAAGGAAATTTTAAGAAATTCTTCTATTTTTTTCTATGAAATTATTTTTAAATTATTTTTCTATGAAAATTTGATCTCCAATTGTCATATTATATTGTTTCAAATTAAAATAAATATTTATTATTCAGCAAGATTTGAGATATTTTATATATTATATATGAGTTTAGAGTGTTAAAAGAAAGAATCGAGATACACCTTCTTTATCTTAGAAAAATTAAAATTATACAGATTAAGTCAAATTTGGTTAAAGTACTATAATAAAATAGATTGATGTTGAATTTTAATTAAAATAATTAAAATAAGAGACGTAATTGAAAGAAATTAAGTACTATAATAAAAGTACTATAATACTATAGTAAAGTCCTAAATAGTAAAATAATACTATAGTAAAATAGATTGATGTTGAATTTCAATTAAAATAATTAAAATAAGAGACGTAATTGAAAGAAATTAAGTACTATAATAAAAGTACTATAATACTATAGTAAAGTATTAAATACTACAGTAATACTATAGTAAAGTACTATAATAAAATAGATTGATATTGAATGTTAATTAAAATAATTAAAATAAGAGACGTAATTGAAAGAAATTAAGTGAATATTGGAAATGCCTATAAAATATGTGAATATCGAAATATCAGAAATTGTCTATAATATTCGAGTTAAAAATAACTATTATTTATTTATCTATTAATTATGGATATCTATTAAATATAAATATTTTTTTATTAAATATTGCAAGAAGAGTTAAAATACCAAATTGCTATGGAATAAACCCATGTCGCAGCAGTGAATCACTTGACGCGAACTGTTAATTGGATTTTCCCTCGAAAGAGAATTGATTTGTCAAAAAACGAAGATTCTTTGAATCAGGGTATATTTCTCAGATAAAGTTTCGATAAAGTCGAGTTAATAATTCCTTCGTTTGATAACAGATGTGACGTTTCCCAAAATTTTCACTGAAAAGAGCAAGATAATATTAATGTATTTTACTTACTTTGATAACAAGTGGATAATCTCTTATCTTTTCTTTTTACAACTTACAATAAGCGGTAGATTTTTCATGATACCTTTTACGAAAATAAGAATTTCGTTAAATAGGTTTTCACAAAAATAACGAATTTAAGATATTTTGGAAAATCGTAATTAAATTTTGATTTACGTATTAAAACTCGAGTTTTGAAAAAGTAAGTTATATAAATTAATTACAATATTAAAATATTAAATATTAAACGAAATTATTTAATAATTATTTAACTAATTATTAGAATAATAAGTTTAATCATCGCCATCCATGATTCATTATTTAAGACAATCTGATAAAGAAAAATTGACAGATAAAATTAATCAAAATTAAATATCAACAAATTGTAATAATTAATTTGATTTAATATCTTTCAGATTACGTTACTCTTATTGACATTTTATAATACGAATATGAATTAGAACAAATTGTAAAATAACACTATGATACCATTGATTTTGGAAGCACCTATACTACCGAATAATTAATATATTTTTCAAAATTGTCAGATTTCGATACAGATGATATTGTACCTAACTTGAATTTTTGTTTATTTCCTATACAACATTTATTGAAGACAACAAACAAAGAAAAAAAAAAAGAATCAAAATATGTTTTTCAATAATGAAAACAAGAATTCGGTAATTTTATTGCGATACTTACTACTTATACCTAAATTTAGTAAAATAATTTCTATTCAATTGACAAATTAATTACGAATAAATTTATGAAACTTACTTTATTAAAATAAAATTTTATTTCTAAAATTTCGATGAAATAATATTACAAAATATGAAGATATAAATGAAACTAATTTCACGAAAAACATTTCTTTATGAAATTATCTGAAACGAGAAACCAGTTCTAATTGATGTTGAATCAATTGCACGTTTATCGAGTCATTTATTATTTTCGTTAAAATAAAAGGTGTTCTCATATAAATATATTATATTTCTACGAACTTTTGCTTAATTATTCATAATATAAAACGAGCTTTATATATGAGTCGCAAATTTAAAATAATGTTTCGTGACCCATAGATAACGTATTACGGATATATTTGCCAATTAAAAAATGCTAATAAAACAGATAACCATACTCGACGTTATGTTTTATGGATAAGGTGCATCGCAGGGGCTGGAATGAGCGATGATGTAGTCAAAGTAATCAACACATTTTGCTTTTTTACGTCTACTTATACAGTGGTAAATATTAATAATAATTTATTCTTTATTCTATATTCTCTATTCTATATATAATCATTGCTTTTAAAGATAGAGTTCGAAGATAAAATTGCAGTCTTACAGGAAGGATGATTCTTCGTGAATACATCAAATTTTTACAATAAATTTCTTAAAAATATTCTTTTTCTTTTTCTCAACGAAGTGACGAAAAATTTGTTACAAATTTTAAAATAAATTTTCAAGTAATTTCTTACTGGGATAAATGTAATGATGAAATAATTATGATTCTTCCAAATTTCTTCTAAATCACGCGAAAAAAGATTTTGGAAAAAGAGAAAGATTCAAAGATTACAAATTTTTGAGTAATTTCTATGAGATATTCCAATCGTTTAAAATTCAAAGTCGAAAACAATTAAGAAATTTTGAATTGTTTACGCAGAATAAAAGGAAACAATACAAGTTTAATATGAAATATTATAATTACCAAAGTTTTTAATTTGACAAAATTATTAATAATCGTAGAATGAATTTTTTAAGCAATATTAAAAGATTACTGGATTATGCAAATGTAAAACAAATGCTGAAACAATTTGTCGTTTTACACATTTTTTATATTTCATATTTTCGTTGTTATATTTTATATTCTTTATTCTTATTCTTGTATTTTGTTTCATTTTTCACTTATTATTTTGTCTTTGTTATCTATTATATTATTTCATTTGATAATTAATTTATCAATGTGGCAATGTTCTTTTCCCTCGAATAATTTATCAATGCTCTATTTTGTTCAATAATTTATTAATTTGGCAATGTACTTTTTATTGAAATAATTTATCGATGTTGCAATGTTCCTTTTTCTGAAATAATTTATCCATGTAGCAATATTCCTTTTTCTGAAATAATTTATTAATTTAGCAACGTTCTTTTCTCTAAAATAATTTATCAATTTAGCAATGTTCCTTTTTCTGAAATAATTTATTAATTTAGCAACGTTCTTTTCTCTACAATAATTTATCAATGTAGCAATGTTCCTTTTTCTGAAATAATTTATTAATTTAGCAACGTTCTTTCTTCTAAAATAATTTATCAATTTAGCAATGTTCCTTTTTCTGAAATAATTTATCGACCTAGCAATGTTCTTTTTTCCCGAAATTTTAAAGCAAAAATCACTATAAATCGTAAGACGAATTTTACAGACGAAGCATATGAACATAACGTCCGTGGAGTTAGGCGAAATTCCGCATCCTGGCGTGGGACCAGCGACCTCGAAAGACTCCGTGGTGCACCATGCCTACTACCAGTGGGTGCCCTTCGTTCTGTTTTTTCAGGCGATCCTCTTTTACATGCCTCACTACCTGTGGCGGAATGTTGAAGGTCAGTCCCGCTATAATACCCACCAACTTATCGCGCATACCTTTGTACGCATAGTGCACGAGCTTTTAGCCCATGGTCCTTTCTTTCTACCTGGAAAATTATTTTCCACCATGGTTTACCTTTCGACTTCGTCATTCCAATCTTGTCCTTCAATTTTTTATTTTCTTTCATTATTTTACGTAGAGTAGCATACTTTCTTTTACATGTAAAATTTCATTATTCTGTTATTGTTCATTTTCGATTTTCAATTAATTTATAACGTCGTGTAACTTGGAAGCTGCTATTTATACAATTTTATTTCATTTATCACGATTACTATTTTTTGGATTTCAAATTAAGGAAAAAAAGATGAAGTTAGTTATATAATATTTTCTCTTTGGAACCACAAAAATATTGTTCTTACAATTCTTATATATTAGATTTAATAATATAAAGTTTTGAAAAATATTTAGGTTTACTTTTTAGGTTTGGTAAATAAAGCGAAGTTTATCTAAACTTTGGCTAGTTTGAAAATCATTTCCATGTGAGTGAAACATTGTAATCTTGTAATATATGTACATTTTATTTTATGTTCCTGCAAAAATGGAAAAATGAATGTTGAAAAACGTTCATACTATTATGACTAGATCGATTTAAAGTAATATTAGAATAACAAAATGAACTCTCTTTTTATTTTTACATATAAAATAATAAATAATATATTTCTTGATATAAAATATTGTTCGAATAAGCATGAACATTATAGTGCATAATTTCTTTCACTTTTAAAGAATTATTGTTTGACGTTTATAGAAATAATTTGGGTATGATCTTATAACTGTAAAGCTATGTCAGAAATTATTCTAGTATTTTCGATAAGATTTTAATAATAACATTTATTTACTAAATATAAAATAGGAATTTTAATAATTTTCTTTATCACTTAAGTTTGAAATAACTTTTGCCCTTGTGTATATAACGATTAATTCTTATAATTAATTTTCAATACTTATTTAATATTTTAATAAATATTGATATTTATAGAAATTACAAAATTATAATTTTAATTCATTATAATTTAATAATGATAATATTATTATTACTAACCAGCCAAATTATTAAACAGTACTATTAAATATTATTCAGAGTAGTGCATAAAATAATTAATGCAACAAATAATATTACTTTTTATTTTTAAATTAAAAGTAACAAATACACGTTTCTATTAAGATAGGATAATAATTCAAAGATCCATCATGACAGTTCTAAAATATTCTTTTAGAAGGCTATTAATTATATTCACAAATTATTTAATAATTTGATTTATTAGACACCCATGAATATTTTGAAAATATATTTACACCATTTTCCACAATTTGGAATATTTCACACGAATTAAATAGTCTAAAATGGCTTAATGAGATATGTATAATCCGAGCAGCCGATATACTTATTTATAAGCGCAAATTGTAATTAGGATATAAATAATTCATGTGAGATTAACACTCGCTATTTGACGCTTGAACAACATGTGCTCCATTTTCTCCATTACTTGTATACGTTTACATACATATAAATATATGTTTAGTTAAATAGCTAAATTCTCTTCTATTCATTATTTTTGGTGTCACTGGCTTAAGATATTAATAACTGATTTAAAATATTAATGAATGCATACATGCAAATAACACAATCTTTATGAAACAAATATTTTGACATACCTTTTATAATTAATTTCATAATATCATTAAATGTTACAATAAATTTTAATGACGAACTATATTAGTTTTGCATGTTAATGTAGTTTTTATTAGGAAATATGAATTTAGGTAAAAAATATTCCTTTATTGAATGCTTTGATAAAGAGTTATTGTTTATTAAAGAATGGACTTTGTGTATTTTTTATTTAAAAAATCAAAGAAGTTGTAACTGGAACAATATACTATCAAAGATTTTATAAAAAATTTTATTTTATTAAAAACAGCAATTTAATGGTTAATCATACTATTAATGTCAGTATTAATAATAGTATTAATAAA